CCCCACCCCCCATTTCGTGTTTACCGTTCAGTCCCTGCATCGACTTGGCCTATTATTTTTACTGTTATTTGTGGTATATGAATCATGTACACACATACAGGTCCTTGGCTGTGTCACTTCCAGTCCCAGTTAATGTCATCTGTGGTTGGTAAGCACCGGTAGATTTCCGTACGACCGCTTACCTACCCGGCACTCCTATTACGCCATATTCTGGTATCTTTTGTTTTAAACGCGCTCGATCCTTACCTTTAACTCTCTGAGTGAAATAAACCCACTTTGCCAATATGGCTCCTCTAGTACAGCCCTTATCACCCAAACCCAAAATAGAGGTGCAATTGATGTCACAAGCATGTTATTAAAAATATTAACTGCACAGATTGCTATCTGTGTTTGATTATTTTAGGGTCCCACATTAAGAAGCTTGTATAAAAGTTTCACTCTCCTGGAACCATGAATAATTAAAAATAATTCATCGTTTAACCCCAAAAAGGAACATATGTTACTGTCACAAATACAAAACGTCCAATGTGAAATGTTCTACTCACTTTGAGAATTCAGTCATCACTGGTTTTGTTCATTGATTTATCTCCTACAAGTATAACGTTGCTAAAAATTATAATAATCTTCTGTATAGTCCAGTTAATTGTTTTTGAGCGACTTAAGTTTGCTTGTCACAGAATATTTAAAAATGGGGAAAATACACCCTACCGACAGTAAGATAAGCATTAAATAAACATGTTTCCCATCATGATCCAAAGATTATATCAGTTTTTATGGGAAAAGGTCCACTTACCATACATCCACATACTTTTAACCTATTGTATTACCCCGGTATAGAGTACCTCTAAGAGCCCTGTGTGACAAATTTACCTGCACATCGTACTCCCTACAAATTACATATCTATCAAACATTTGTAGGAGTACTTACATGTACCCGTACAACATCATGTGATGGTTTGTTAATACAAAAGAAAATGTAATGTACTCGTATCTATAGGCGTATTACAAGCCATTCCGTNGCGGAAAGACAAGCTGATGAATTTTGATAATAGTGACAGTCACGCGCTGTGTACATTTTGTTGATGTTGTGTACACACAAAAAAATCACTGGTGTTCTGGATCATGCCTTAATGATGACTTCATTTACTTTTAGCAGAAACTTTTTGTGACCTCAAACGAAATCTTATTTGGACTTCTTAGGAATATCATGGGCAGAGTAATTCTGTCCATGGGAATATATGCACCTGAGAAAAGATTTATCAGGGTCATTTGTATACAAGATATATCATTGCTAATACTTTTTAGAGAAAGCAATTCGGTTGAGAGATGCCAACTGTTGTACATATTGCACCGTAGACGTTGCCGTAGACGTTGGCACTTATAATGAGACAGCACACAGTACCACATTCAAAAACACACCTTTCATATGGACCCTTTGCTCCCAACGTGGGATGTGGGATTGTGTAAGATATCCTGTTTATGAACGTACATATGTAGCACTAACACTGACGATGTGTATGTAGTTTGTAAGAAACTGCTTGTTTTATGATAGCTTTGTAACAAACTGCTCATAATTTGATTACTAAGTAACAAATTGCTCGTAATATGATTACTTCGTAATTAACTGCTCGTAATATAAACTTTGTAACAAATTGCTCGTATTTTGATTACTTTGTAACAAACTGCTCAAAATATATACTTTGTAACAAACTACTCGTAATCAAATTACAAGTAGTTTGTTACAAATTACGAGTAGTTTGTAACAAGCTACTCGTAATTTGATTACTTTGTAACAATCTGCTCGTAATTTATCTTGTAACAAACTGCTCGTAATTTGATTACTTTATAACAATCTGCTCGTAATTTGATTACTTTGTAATAATCTGCTTGTAATTTATATTGCTTTGTAACAAACTGCTCATAATAAGATTACTTTGTAACCAATCGCACGTTATTATATTACAATCTAACCATTCGCGAGTATAGTGATTACCTTGTAACAGACTGCTCTTTAAATGATTACTTTTTAAATCTGTTCGTAATTTGATTATCTTGTAACAAACTGCTCGTAATTTGATTACTTAGTAACAAACTGCTCGTATTTTGATGACTTTGTAACAAACTGCTTGTAATCTTATTACTTTGTCACAAACTGTTCGCTCTTCTGTAGACATTCCCTGATGCGTGTGCAGCATAATTTATTTTACAGCAACCAGCCGTATTAGCCGATAAAACGTCCGTTCCTCAATTAACGAAGTAATCTTCTATACTCCGCCGGCTTCGTGTCATAAACTGCAGATCATCAGGGGGTTTGCATGTACCGTACCAACTACGTATATCCTGGGCGCTGTAGGATTTCACCGGTTCCGTTGGAGAATGAAGCTTGGCACAAATATCACAATAACCACGAATCCAAGAAGAGACTTGAATACCAGCCTTTGATTGCAACAATTTGGCATATTCAGCGTCGTCTTTATCTAGTTCTTTCAGTCTGTGTGCCAGCTCTTTGGGAGACTTAAAGTCGTGTGTGTCTATGTGCCAGGACGGAGGGATGCCTAGACGCGTGTAGTTGGCACCTGAACGTGTGACCGGGATAACGTCCAATGGGAGGATTTTATATAATTTTTCTGTGACATAATCCGTGGCAAAACTATTTTCAAATGAAAGATAAAATTTATAAGTTTTGTTTAACATATCGGTACATTTAGCTTCCCTGTCGCGTCCACATTTGAATGGCCCGCAACCCCCATAGATGTCCACGCTCATATATTTCTGTAATTCCTTCACATATTCCATACGTTGACTTGGAGCATTACAATTGCTGACTGCCCAGGCCGCTAATTTAGTTTTGCTCCTGGCAACTGACAGGAAATTCCTTTTCTTTGCTTCATCGTGGTTTTCGTCTAGGAGGGGTAATCCGTATGGACTGTAGATGTCGCTGTCCTTCCTGTAAGTCATCGTCCAGTTAAACGCCCAATCACTATCTAAGTACGTGTGGCATGGACTCTCGTGATTGATCCATATCCAGCGTGTTTTGGGGTTCCGTTTTTCTGGTTTTTTACCTAACGCATACCCATGAAAATGATGGCATCGGTATCATAGGCAGCACTCTTATCCTCCGTCACCTTACAGTTACCCACGGGACACTTCAAGCCCTCGAATGAGGTGTGATATGTTTTCAACCCGAAGTAGTCAAAACCAGAAGAACTAGGAATCCAATATAAAATAAGTTTAACATCCTTTGATGGCTCTGAAATCCTTGTTTCGTTCTCTGGAAACGTTGGACCTATCTGAAATCCGTTCTTGTCATGATTTTTGTAGATTGGCTGGGGTAAGATTAACCTTGACACAATTACGGTTTTATAGATTTCTGTCAACAGAAGCATCCCAAAAAGGAGTGCGGACAAGATGATTGTAATCAAGCCGCTTTGTAACACTATCTTCACATTAATTGTCATGGCTGGACAGAAGATTTACATAAGTACCAGTACGATGAATGCCGGAAATGCCTCAGATGTTTGTTGTTCCATTTTGTACAGGAA